ACACTCACGTTGTCGTGGCTGAGCATGACCCCCTTGGGCTGGCCYGTGGTGCCCGAGGTGTAGATGAGGGTGCAGCACTGGTTGGGTTTCTGGGACGCGATGAYCTCGCGGAGCCGTGAGTCCGGCACGTCCTTGCCCAGCTCCATGAACTCCCTCCACTGTGCAGAGGAGAGCAGAGCTCAGTCACTTTGTAAGGCATCATTCACAGAAAAATCAAACCCTCTGTTGCACACCAAGAGAAGGAAGCTGTAGCTGTTCTCCCTGCCCAAACCTCTGGAAGAGGCTGTAAATCCCCACTGTTTCCTGGCTGACACACCACAATGAGAGAAGCAGAAAGGAGACAGACACACCCCCAGAGCTTTACAGATCTGTAGCAATGCCCTGTAGTAACCTGGGGCCTGAGGCTGCCTGGCAAARCTCAGCAGGCTCCCAGCCCCCTTACAACATGGATTATCCAGCTTTGCACAACAGCAGATACCTCCTGCCCCCCACAGCCCACACGAGCTCATGGGATCACACAGCCCCAGGSTGGTTTGGGTTGGAAGGGACCTTGRTGACCATCTCATSCCAAGGCCCTGCCATGGACAGGAACATCACCCACCAGAYGTTTAAGGCCCCTTGGAAGGTGACGGGTACTTGCAGCCACCAGCTGAACACAACCAGGACTCACAGCAGTGAGGAAGCCCAGAACTTACTGAGTACAGGTTTGGTCTCCTCTCTTTGATCTCCTCYCCATATTGCACAATGGCCTTCAGATGAGGTAGGCTGTCTTCAATCTGTGTTGAGAAGGGAAATCCATGAGAAGGAGCAAATTCTGCTTGTCCTTTTCAGGCCTCTGTAACCCCCCACTCAACATGCTCCTCATATTTGCCTTTTTATGTAAAGCCAAGAGAACCCCACATGTGTTCCTAAAACAAYGGGTTTGCCTCACTAGAAAGAGTCATAATTTGAGCTGGGATGTTGCCAGAAAATCTAGAGGATGCTCAGTTGCTCTTTTTGGCTTCTCCTGTTTTAAACACAAGGCTTTCAGAAGTGAAAGCACCACTTAACCTCTTGTGAGGCTTAGTGCCAGTGCCAGCTCACCTGGCTGGAGCAGGAGAACACCAAGGAGGTCACCTCTGCTCTGAGAGCCAGCATTCCCCTCAGGTACTGCCCTCCTACAGCATTTTAYCCTCCCACACCCGTCAGCAGGATGCTGGAACCCCCCAGCCATTTAAAAAACRTGATTACTTCTAAGATTTTCTGCAGCTGTTTATGGTTTTCCACCACGATAATGTTGGCACTGCAGTTGTCTGCTACGTAGTGACAGGCCCCGGGAGAGTTTGTAGTGTAGATCCCAACAGCAAATCCCCTGGGAAGGAGAAGGGAAAAAACCAAAACAGAAAAGCAAAACACAKAGTCAGAGGGCAAGCAGAGTTGCTGGCAAAATTCAGACCATTWCAGAGCAAAAAGTTGAAGATGAACATCCCATAAAATGGCAACAAAGAGGGGAGGGCTTAATTCCAAGAGGAAGGACTCTGTTCTGGGGCATGGGAAATGTCAGAGTGGTGKGAGGGCCAAAATGTCTCATGTGGAAGGCAGATATCAAAACCCAGCCCTGGGATTCTCTGGAATTTCCCACCATATTTTAATCACTGTGGACATAAGGATGCTTTGGGATTAACCTACTAGTCTTCTTTTGAGAGAAGCAGCTGGCTAAAAAAAAATTTATTTTTGTCTCATTAATTCATTATGAAATAGTTCAGATTCATTCATACCTTCATTAAATTCAAATGTAAGCAAYTGGGTTTGGGTTTTTTTGTTTGYTTTATTGGGGKTTTAATGAAAACCTCCTTCTCCTGTGAATACTGCAGTTACTCTCTGCCTGCCAAAGCAAAATGCATGGCAAGAAACAAAACTCTTACCCTGCAAGGATAGCTCCAATGTCAGCAATGAACCACTCTGCAGAATTAAATCCCAGGATGCCCACTCCATGGAAACGCTCCAGCCCCAGCTGTAAACAAGAGATGACATTACAGCAGCCTGGCTTTTCCTTGGAGAAAGCTCAGAGCTCACAGCACTGAGGGAAAGAGTTCATTTTCTTACAYGGGGTAATTCCCACTGGAAAACTTCCCAGGAGCCAAGAAGGAACCAGTTAAAGTTTCACAGCACTGTCCCACTATCAGTGGGCATGAAAATGGAGATTTGCTGAGGTCTGCCCTGGGAAAGAGTGGCTCACTGGCACTAACAGGAATATAAACCTGGGAGGTATCAGTTCCYCTGGGGCTGGGAATGAGAAGGTAAGAGGTGCAGTCAGACAACACCTCCTGGGACATTTGGTACAAGCTGGGTATGTCAGATATCAACAGTGGCCAGAGCAACAAGCTCAGGGACASCCAGAGGCAGCTGGCTATGAAATTGCAGCTCCTGGAGTCCCAGTCTTTAACTCTCTGGTTTGGTSCCAGAGTGGAAGATCCCACTATAAGAAGAAAACCAGGCTGGCCTTAACTTGAAGAAACAAGACTCAATCACAACAATAACAATACAATGTTGGTTTCTCTCCCAAATCTCCTAATCCCAACAGCACTAGCAAAGGACTGGGCCAGTTGGGATATTTAAGTCTGGTTTGCAAGCATCCCTTTAAGTTTTTTTTCTTCAAAAGATGAACATTTCCATGCCTTTGGAGGGGCAGTGTCCATRTTTGCCATACACCTCAAACACCTCCCTTTAAATGTTTCCTAATGTGCTTTTTTCTTGGTTGAATGTGGAAGCAACTGTCAAAAAAAATTAAATAGCAAKGTGTCCATGGCATGTTCAGGTGCGTCCCCATCACTGTAAGATTCACCTGCACTCAGAAAATTTGCAGGTTTAAGACAGACTTGAGTGCAGCCATTCTAGCACTTAAATGAGTGACAACTAAACTTGGCTTTTTAGGAAGGAAAGGAAGGAAAAGGAAGAACAGTTTTAAACTAAARGAGTTTTAAATCTGATTTACATCAGATATTGGGAAGGAATTGTTCMTTGTGAGGGTGGRGAGGCCCTGGCACAGGGTGCCCAGAGMAGCTGTGGCTGCCCCTGGATCCCTGGCAGTGCCCAAGGTCAGGTTGGACAGGGCTTGGAGCACCCTGGGACAGTGSAAATGTCCCTGCCCAKGGCAGGGGTGGCACTGGATGATCCTTAAGATCCCTTCCCACCCAAACCACRTTGATTTTAGGATTCTATGAATATGAACCAAGASATTTCAACAAACTCTTACCTTCAGAAAGCTTTTGGCTGCTTTCCAGCACTCGTCATAGTACATCTTATASGTCAGCTTTACCCACTGGCCATCTTTTTTGGATGCAAGGGCGTAGTAGTCGCTGTATTTATTGGCACATTCCTGTAAAAGCTGGTGCACAGTTTTTGGTGCCTCGCTGCCTATGCCGTGTTCTTCCATCCTCAGCTTGACCTCTCCATCACGACGTGTYGTCCACAAGCTGGAGGCAGGAGGGGAGGAGGCTGCTTTGGAAGAAAAGTGTTCAGTAAGATTTAGAAATTTCCTGCTGCCACAACAGAATGAAAGTATCAAGCAAATGCTCTTATACTCCCTCCCACACCCCCTTTTTGACCATCTCTYCTTGGCAAGTTTGCCACATGACCCCCAGTATTTCAGACTGGAAGCCTCTAAAGCACTTCAAATTTTGCTCAACGTTTCCCACTTACACCCCCTCTAACCTGCTCTGCTGCCCTAAGGCTCTTGTACTGGCAAGGTGAGAGCTTCTTGCATCTTACACTCTGCTATTTTTAATTTTTTTTCCTTTTAAGGAGGACTGAAAGCAGGACACTGGTAGCTGGTAGATGAACATCAGGCACTGACACTGCCTATTTAATCCTTGAAGCACAGCTGGACTTTAAGTCTGAGTTCAAGACACTTCTGCACAACCCATCCTCCAACCTGAGCTGCTTCTTCCATTGGTATGGTTTGATAAATTCCTCTCTCATTGCAACAATAATCCAATGCACACCCAGTCACCAAACTTCCATCCACTCACCTTTGGGACTGAGTGAGTTCACCTGATATGTCTCCATCTTGGAATCTTCCCCTGGCTCGTTGTTGCGTGGCTCAGCAATTCTGCAAGGYAAAAGGAATTATGCCTGGATAAGAACACTGAGAGCAGGTTTGCTCCATCCCTTAATGTCACTCAGGCTTTGGATTTCAGAGTGATTCTCGATGTTCTGCAGGTGTYTTCATATTAATTTACTACCCTGCATGGCTCCAGCAGTGGAACAGAATGTGCAAGCTCTGCCTGTGCTGTTTTTGAACACAAGAGTTTTGTCCTAATTGCAGCTTTCATTGCAGAGGAGCTGCAGAAGAATCCATAAACACCATCCCTAAAACAGCCATCATTTAACTCCTAAGGACTGCCCCAGGTGCCTGAAACAAAGAGTCTGCAGCTGGGAAGAGGCGGGAGACAGGAAGGGACACATGGATCTGGAGCTCATCTCCTGTCTGCAATAWGTGAGTTCAACAACAGGGATGCCCCTGGGGACACTCTCAACTCACCCCATGGGGAAACCCACAGAGATTTCCTGCAGAAAAGCAGGAAATTGATTTAACAGGAAATCTTGTYGTTAGGTATTCCTAATAAAGCCAGTGCTCACAGCAGATGTTTGGGAAGAAATGGAAACAGGCTCATCCCCATGTGCTTCAGCCACACTCCTCCCAGCTGAGTTGTCCCTTTTACTTTCAAGCCCTGCAGGAGTTGGTGAAGCACCACTTGCCTGGTTGCAAAACTGTTCTTACTCCATCCCTTTCCTTGCTTGACTTTCTCAAAGCCCTAAGTGAGGAGGACAAGGGATGATCAAGTTGCATGTGTCACTTCAGAGGAGGAATTGGAAGCCAGACCCAGTGAGATTTGGGATTTGCTCCCTAAAAGAACAGCCCAACCTCCAACCAGGCATCTGATGCCTGGTTCCCTTCCCTGGGCAATGCCCTGCCAGGACCATGGGACCATCACTAAGATCTGAGTTTTATCTGATTTAAGGTTATATTTCAGAGACCCACACTTTCCACCTTTCCTTGCCCTACCAGGGCCCTTCACTTCAGGCCATCACGAAGGTGTTATTTCTTCAGGCCGGTGTTTCTTCTTCCCCACAGCAACACTTGGCTGCAGCACCAAGCCCAGGGTCTTCCAGCAGGGCCCTGACATCACAATAAACCCAACAATACAGGGGCAGAAAGGAGCCCTGAGTCTGCCCATCGCAGTCAGCCCACACTGCACACAGGTGACAKCTCTTCTGGGCCCACACAAACTCCTCAGACTAAGCCAGGCAGGGCTCCCAGCAAGTCCCACCTTTTATTCCCTTTCTACCAGACCAAAGACAATTCAGCACAGGCACTGCATGAATTTCAGGGTAAGAGGGAAATCACTTCCCACTAATTTTAYATTTACTCCGAATTTCTAGGGAACAGTCAACTATTACTGCCTTGGGCATATGAACAGGTTGAAGGCCCAGGGAAGACTTGACATGGCTGATACCATGTCCTGAACTGCTTCTCTGAACTAATCTGCAAGCCAGCAACCAGAGCTGGGTAAATAATTTCTTTATTTCCCCCAAAGGGATTACTAGATGTTCTCATCTCCGTGCTCCCTCCTCATTATTGAGAACATTTTTCAGCACAAATTAATCCTCAGTTGCAATAGTTCTGCACCATTTCTCCACAAGCTTTTATGATCAAAGCATGCAAATGACCCAGTAATATGAGYAGAAAAGCCCCAGCTATTTCCCTCACAGTCAATCAAGTCATCTTTTTTCTCCCCCTTACAACATGTAATTCAATGCAGCCGAAAAAATTTAGGTAAAGAGGTTTTAGTCAGCGAGATCCCATTATGCTGTGGTGAGATATAGACCCTAATCTGCTCTTTAGTCTGGAAATCTAAGCAGCCTCTTACCAGCAGGAGTTGGAGATCAGCATAGGTACTGCACATGAGCTGTTCCCCAGAGGGAAAGCTCTTCCAAAATCATTTTCATTAATCAAAGTAAGCAAGATTGAATACAAACCACATATACAGCATAAAAAAAAAACAAAACAAAAACAACTTAAATTAGACAAACCTGGGTGAAGAGTTGAGCAGTGCATCTTCCAGTATCACCTCACAGTTCCCATGAGGAGCTGAATTGCAATAAGCCACGGGGACTGGTTCTGCAAGTGCCATCCCTGCGTCTGACTCACACAGCACTGTCCCTGCGAAAACAGGTTTTAAAAATTAAAATACAGCCAAACGTTACAGCAAAGCAGCAAACACAGCTCAGCCGCTTGAGCGAGGCAGCCCCGAAGAGGCACAACTCGAGTCTGCTGCGTGTGCTCAAAATATGGGAAATTTTGACAGCTGGCACAGTCCGGTCATTGCAAAACCCCACACCAGCGTGACACCCACAGCTCCCCAAGAACACTTTAAACACCGCATTCCCTTTGCCCTAAACCCTCCCGCTCGGCTCGCAGCCCCCCCAATCCCTCCAGCCTCACCGCGCATCTCCCGTCCCGCAGCCTCCCCTCCGCAGCCGCTCCGCACCGGCGCCGAGCACGACGTGTAATATCCTTTATTTTTAAACTAGCGCCCAGGAGGCAGATCTGGAGCATCTTATGTCATGTGCTGCTGCCTTGCAATTGGAAGCGGCTCGTCACCCCACACCGCCGCCTCTTAAGGAGGCTCTGGCCCCACTCCTGCCCGCCAACCTCCGCAAACCGGGGATTCCGGGTCCCTCTGGGGGGACACAGCCCTGGGACACCCCACATTTAAGCTGTTCGCATCAAAAYCAGCGTTTTGCAGCTGGGTTTTTTGGTGGCTCCCACGCTGCTTTCAGCACTTTGTCTTGGGGGATTTCATCGCCTAAATGAAGTGTTTTCTAAACGCTGATTTTATTTAAGGTTTACATTCATCAAAAGCCTTTGATGCTTCTGAGTTGCCAGGCTGAGCTTTAATTGTTTCAAGGGATTTCAAGCTGATTGGAGACGAATCCCATTATCCTTGATCTCTCTAAGAAGTGGATTTTAGGCTGCTATTTTGTACCTACATTAAACAGACACATTTAAACAGTGTGATGTGAGGAGCATGTTTGTCTCGATGAGGAGGGACAGCAGTGAAAGGAAAGAGGTTTTTTTTTTTTCAATAAATTTGACCCAGTCACGCTGCAGCGTCCTGCCTGTGCCGGGAGAGGAAAGCCACGCCAGCCACACTCASGGACGTCCCCCTTTTCCGCTTACTCATCTGCGCAAGGACACGTTGGTGCTCACGCCACGCTCTGCTACAGCCAGCGAATCACCACGCCAAAAATAGTTTAATTCACGAGCAGCCGAGAGGGGGATGTCTGCAAAAACCCATCTCTGAAGCGCAGAGATAACAGGCAGATAGTGCCCCGCACCCCGTTGCGGGCTGGAACACCAGAGCGTTTGTTGGGAGCTGTGAGAGGAGGCTGTTATCTCTACAGCGCCGTGCTCGGAGCAGCCACTCAGACCTGGCAGGTCCCTGCCCAGCCCGGAGGAGCCCAAACCCACACGTGGCACAGCACCCCGGTGCCACCAGAGCTGTCCCCACGGCCTCTCTTGCTCAAGGAGAAACCGAGCAGAGCCCAGGAGGGACGAGCCGCAGCAGCTGCCATCACTCCTGACCCCCTTTCGCAATGCTGCTCCCACTTTCCTCCCCAGCACCCCACAACGAGGGGTTCAGGGCTGGCCCTGAGGGRAGCTTTGGCCTCTGCACTAATTACAGCGTTTCTCTTGCCAATTGTGCCTTAATGCAGCAACGAAGTTTCGAGGGGAAGGGTGAGGTGTTCTCACTCCAGCTATCAGGGAATCATGGAATCTGAGAATGGTTTGGGTGGGAAGAGACCTTAAGGATCATCCAGTGCCACCCCATGCCATGGGCAGGGACACCTCCCACTGTCYCAGATTGCKCCAAGCCCTGTCCAGCCTGGCCTTGGGCACTGCCAGGGATCCAGGGGCAGCCACAGCTTCTCTGGGCATCCTGTGACAGGGCCTCCCCACCCTCTTCCTACAAATATTTTGATCTATCTCTGCACTGTGTCAWTGGGGAAGCCATTCCCCCTTGTTTTGTCACTTCAGGCCCTTTCAAATCTCCTCTCTCTCTCTCTCTCCAGCTTTCTTGCAGGCTCCCTTCAGGTCCTGGAAGGCCACAATTAAGTCATGCCAAAGCGTCCCTTCTCCAGGCTCAACAATCCAAATTTTCTCATCCTTTCCTCTCAGCAGAGCTGCTCCATCCCTCTACTAGTGTGAGTTCCATTTCCATGGTCAGCTGCAGGTTTCTGCATCACCTTCAGTTACTCAAGAGGAGAAAGCTCTTCCCAGTGAAGACCATCCCTGCATTCTGCCCTCRCTGTGCACAACCCCGGGCACATTTGCAACACGAACTGAAGTGCAACCCGATCGCGCAGTTTCTGTAACCAGCCATGCATTTTATCCAACAAATTCAAGTTAGAAGCAAACATTTCCCAATATTTACAGACTCTCCCTAGCTCTGCTCAGCACTGCAGCTCGGCCCTTCCCTCCTTGATGCTTAGTTACAAACACACTGTAAAACACAYGTGTCCAAGGGTTGGGAGGGGATGRTCTTTAAGGTCCTTTCCAACCYAAAYCATTYCATGCTTCAGCAGAGCCAGGTGTAACTCTTGAATTCCAAAATTCCTCTCCCACCCCATGCTGTCCCCTGAGGAATTAACGCACCACGGTGTCCCACAGGTGCTCGGGAACACGGGGAACACACACCCAAACAAAAACCTGCAGAAAGAAACCTCCCTTTTAATTAAGCCCGTGTGACTCCTTAAATCATTTAAATACAAAACGTGTTCTGCTTTGAGGGAGCACCGTGACCCAGAAGAACTGGAAGTGGAGTGATTTCTTTGGAACCACTCTGGGGCTTCACTGACAAAACACAATAAAGGTCTGACAAGGTTCARACTCTTGGCAGTCAATGGTGCAGGAGTGGAGCTTTCATTTATAATAGGATTTGGACACRCCTTTACCTAAAACACACACAGAGCTTCAATAATATCAGTTCAAGTTCAAATTACTGAGCACCTTATCAAGCCACTTGACATTTTCCAGCACAGCCCACTCCTGCGGTTGATTTCTTTTAGTCGGTAAAGGCACCACATCCGCTCTGTTTCAGTTCTTGCCACCTAGAGCAGCTCCAGGCAATTGCCACATCACCCTCAAAACTGAAACTTGGGCCTTTCTGTTCTTTTTGTTCCCCTTAAAGGTTTGTTAAGCGAGGAAACAAAAACTAAGCAGCCCACTCTTCCTCCTCTTACATAAACTCAGTTTTTAACAGAGGCAGTGATAAAAGCTTCCTGAGAATTAAAGGTTTTGTCCTGGCTTCACCACTGACCACAGGTGCTGGACAAATCCCCCGTGGCTTCCTGATGCTGGAGTAGAGAAAACAGGAGTAGAAATAATTCSAACATCTACAAGGATGATGTGTGACTGTCACGACTGCACCTGACTCCACCACATGTCCAGAGCTGAGTTTTGGCTGAAGAAAGCCACCCATTGACCATCACTTGGTCAGCCAGACCCGGCTCCTTGGTCACGTAGACAACCACAAAACTCTCAATTTCAGGAACAGTGCTTCTCCAGAGCACCGGGATGTTTTAGGTGAATTCCCCAGCAGTGTGAGTCACCAGGAGGCTGCAACGAGCTCCTCTTTCCTAAACTGCTCCTTCACCGAGCCATCTGCACGGTCACCAGGGGAAAATCCCCTCACGCCCAGCAGGAAAGCACAGAATTGTGTTTTCACAGAGGCACCACCTGTGTTCCTGGCGGCTCCCACACGAGGCTTTGTGTCTGCTGGGAGCACAGTGGGGCACAGGAGCATCCCGAGCACTCAGATCACCTCACGGAACATTCCCAATCTCCCAGGTCACCTCACAGAGGGTCCCAAGTTTCCAAGTTGCCTCATGGTGCATGCCAAGCTCTCAGGTCACCTCAGGGAGCATCCCCGAGCACTCACATCATTTCAGAGCATCCCAAGCTCTCAGGTCACCTCACGGAGCATCCCCAAACTCTCAGATCACCTCACGGAGCACCCCCAAACTGTCACGGTCACTCGCGATGGATCCCTGGACACCAGAGGGGAAGGGACATCACTTCTCCTCAGACCACCTCCTGCCCTGACCGGAGACTTGAAGGAAAGTCCCCCACAGCCCATCCTCTGTTCATTTAACCAAAAACCCTAAGAATTTCCCCCGCGCTGCTCAGACACCCACCCACCCAAGGGACATCATGAGAAGCATCTCCCGGGATGGTGAACCCCACAGCGAAACCCCCGCGCCGGGCGGGCATCCCACACACACCGGGTGGCGCTGGGGACACCCAGAGCGGGTGTGGGGAGCCGGAACCCCCCTCCCTCCCTCAGCCCAGGCCGGGGTCGGGCTTTAGGACCGCGCGTTACCTCRGGGCCCGGTGGGCGCGCGCGGCCCCTCAGCAGCTCCCGCGCGCCGCTGGGCGGGGCCCTTTAGAGCCCTCGCTTTTGGGGGGCGTGGCCATTTCCACTTCGCCACGCCCACCCCGCATTTTCAGAGCATTCTATTGGGCGAGACGGCGGTGGGCAGAGGCAAGGCCACGCCCTCCAGCTCTGGGATGAGGCGCATCGCCGCGCGATTGGAGGAGGYGGCTGTCAGTAACAGCGAGGCCACGCCCCCTCCCCTCGTGGCGCGGGTTACCCGCGGTCAATGCCCTGCGCGGTGCCCGGGACACCGGGATGCGGCTGTTCCGGGACACCGGGAATCGGCGTTTCGGGGCTGGAAACACCCCAAACCCTGCGCCTCACCGTGCTGGAACAGCGTGAAGCTCCGGAGCACCTTGAGGTGCTTTAGTGATGTGCGGCGACGCAGCAGAAGTTTTCGGGAAAAGGAGGGGAATAGTCCGAATTAATCTGAAAGCTGTTTTTTTCCTAAAATAAAGTCAGGTTAAGGGCAAGGTGCAATAGGACAAGAGGAAACGACCTCAAGTTGCGCTGGGGAGGGGGGGGGTGGTGTTAGATTGGACATGAGGGAAAATTTATTCGTGGAAAGGGTTGTAAATCATTGGAACAGGCTGCCCAGGSCAGTGGTAAAGTCACAATCCCTGGAAATGTTAAAAAAACACGTGGATGTGCCACTTGGGGACACGGTTTAGTGGTTGACCGTTGGTCTTGACGGTTTTCAAGGTGCTTTCTCGCCTTAAGAGTTTTGTGATTCTGTGAAGGATTTTTAAATGGGACCCTGAGCAACAACAACCCTTTGACCAAATGAAACGGGAGATGGTTCATGGAGAAGTTTTGGGGCCATTCTGGACAGGACAAGATGTAAAATGTACTCCAACCACAGCTGGAGGCGAATGGTCCTACCTGGAGCTCCACCATCTGCTCTCCCGAGTCTGCCGTATTAAAGATGGAGTCCAACAGTACATATTTATTTATTAATTTGTTATTCAGGTGTTTTTATTTGTTATGATCAGGTGGATCCATCTAACCGTTCTCAGTTGTTCCTGGCTGATAAAACTGCAGAAAAGCCAGGATTTTGTTTAYGCTGTCAGGAAAACAGCTGGATCTGT